TACGTAACCCCGTATAAGTTCAGCATTGTCGAAACGCGGCACCATGATCTTCAGCCTTGGTGCCAGCAATTATTTGCCTTTGTTTCCACCCTTGGTAAAACCAATACATTCTGCTTGAGACATTTTGAAAGTGAAAAGAGCGATAGCTTGAAAGTAATAGAGCACCAAATGAATACTCTAAAGCATAAAGTACAATAGCAGTTGTATTCGCTGTTTATAATAGACAATCCCGAGTACTCTGTCCTATTAACTTCCATATCCCATTCCTGGATATACCAAATGCTAATTCCCTGATTCCAATGATCACCCCATTTAGAGTAATGTCGTACCTTTGAATTTTTCCATATTTGGTCCATTTCAATCCCATTAACCTCAATTTCTCTGTAATCAACTCTATATTGGATCCCCAAAATAATCTTCCAGCTTCCTGAATAGTCCCCAATCTTCACCAGCGTGATTTGTGGCCAAATCCAATCAGCCTCTTATCTGTTATTAATATCCAGAAAAAAACATTTTGGAACCTTCAAGAAACAAATCAACTTACAATTCCAAGTTAATTTGAAAAGAGAGTAAATCAAAAGTGAATTACAATTGCATATATAATCTGTCTTCAGAAATAAGGAAAGAATCTCAAAATTCATACCCTTCCCTGTAACCAAAGATGTGGCGTAACGTTTCCCCATCATCCCTGTTTGTTGTGAATCCCCTAAAGTCCTCATCCAAGACCGAAACCTGTCTGAATATCTTCCACTGCCCTCTTGTCCCCTGTCCACCAGTCTCCTCCATTCGTGTTGACGCAAAAACTGTTAATCCATTACCCCTCTCTGTAACTCCATTCTCTGTATTATTTCCTGAGTTTTGCTGACCAATGACAGCAATCGGCCCCAATACAAGGTCCGAAGAACCAATCCACGAGCCGGTAATCTGTAATCGTGAGTCCAGAAATTCAGACGGAGACCATCTTCCAAAACCCCCAAATCTTCTCGCGAAATGATACACCAAATGATTCTCCATGAAATTGTGACAACTGATGTCATTTCCAGAGGATGAATCCTCTTAAACAACCCTTTTAATCCATAAAACCCCTCAAATCCCTTCGGATCGAAAAGCATGAATACCCTCCAAACCCTAAGTCGCCTGTGTTGACGTCATTTTTTGAGAGAAAAATGCTTCTTTTTTTACAGGAATATTATCTATTATGCTGTTTTTAACTTGTTATTTGTTTCTATCTTTATTTAGTTTTTTATCTTTATTTAATTTTTTTGACCGATAATATTTCAAGTAAACATAGATAAGCGTAGATTTATAATTACGGTCCTTGTATCTTTTTTCTTATCAATAAAACATATCTTCTAAAAGATTCTATAATTACATAAGTGTAGATTTATAATTACGGTTCTAATATTGATAAGAAAAAGTTTATGTAAGAATATTACAAGAAGATTTTATTTAATAATAAAGAAAAACATAAAATACATAGTAACAATAAAATCTTTTAGAAGATGCTTTATAATGTGCATTCATCTATTATTCATAAAATATTTTATTTAGTTTCATTTTATGTAAGTCAGTTTTTATTAAATGCTTGATTTTCTCGTCTTAATTGAAATTTTGATTCTCGTCTTAATTGAAACTAGGTGATCGGTCCGCACCGTGTGCGGACTATAACATATTTTCTATTTTTATTTCGTAAGAAATATTTTATATTGTTATATGAATATTTGTAATTGTATATGATGAACTAAACACTAAGTAATATCCAATAGAAAGTGTTACATAAAATAATTGTAATACTTTTTAACTAAATAAACGGTTTTAAACGTGAGAACATATAATAAATTCAAGATAAGTGGTTTTACACGTGAGAACATATGCTTAAATTGTTTAACTAAATAAACGGTTTTTCAAAAGAAGCAGTTCAAACCATCAAGATAACCCAATTCAAGATTAGCATTTTGTGACCAAGAAGATGAAAACTGAAATGTCAGAATAAATAAATTGTTTAATTTCGTGCTTTATGTTATGTTTAAGCATATGAACCTTTTTAAACTTCTTTCTCTATAATTGGTGGTTTGCTAATGATATTTCTTTATTTTGAATTAAGTTTAGTTATTTTATTACGATCACCGTTTCTTAAGTGCTCAAGTGTATGCTTTATTTTACAGTTTATAGATTGTTCTTCCATGCTAAATTTAACGTCTCTAACAATATTTATTAATGCATCACGATTTTGATGGACCGCCCAAATCTATTTTCTTCGAATAGTGTTAATTATGTATTTCGTTTACTTTTTTTTATTACATCGACATTGAATTAATTGTTTTAATTGTAAGGATCAACAATATTTTGAATCAATTGTAAGGAAGGACCAATCAATAATATATCAAAAGTAATCAATAACCAAATATTTAGGATGATTTTTTTGGGATATGATTTAGAATTAGAACAATATATATTAATGCACAACAATTTCGATGGACTGCCCAAATCTTTTTTAAGAAAAATGCATCTACAGTAGAAACTCTATAAATTAATAATGTTGGGACCTTGATATTTTATTAATTTTAGATAAAATAAATTATTTACTAATAATTAATTAAAAATAATATTTTGTTTAAAATTTATAATATTTTCCAAAATTTTTATTATAAAATTAGAAATAAATAATTAAAACATTTCAATTTTAATATGAAAACAATAATATAATGATATTTTAATAGATTACCATAATTATATATTTATATAAAATTATTTTATATGATATTTATTAATTTATGATATTAATGGGACTATATTTTACATATATTTTCAAAAAACAATTATGATCTTTTTAATTTATCGATTTGTATTAAAATTTGAACCGGCCCAACTCGGGACCGAACAAAATTATTGATTTATCGAGTTTATTAATTTATCGAATATTAATTTATAGAGTTTCTACTGTATCTCGTGATTTGTATACATTTGTAAATGTAACTCATTCACATTTTTACTTGAAGATTTTAACCAGTTATAATGTTATTATACTGTAATAAATTACTTACATTTATGTTTATTTTAAATATGGATATAAACAAGCATTAGTATTTGTTTTATGATTTGGTGCTTAACGATTGAAAATATATTATTTCTTATTATTATAGAAAAATGTGGTAATTCAATTAAGTTTATTTCATAAATTATGTTATTCGAATCTCAAAACAAACGTATGCATGGAAACAACATGCATTGACAATATAATCATTACTACCGAGGTCTTAAAAATATATGTTTCTCTAATTTAGCATGCTTACAACAGCCACATATATATAATATATTAAATTTTGGTAACAAAATCATGTGGTTAGAACAAATCATGAAATTGCACAAATCACTCTTTGACTGATGTTACCTGGATGAAAATTAACAGTTTCATATTCAATTGCTATCACGTGCATTGCTATTGTACTTGTAAGGACCTTTCCCATTGATGAGTACTCCATCAGGCAGACTAAGAAAGCAAACAAAGTTTCACCAATATAAAGACATTGGAACTAACTAACAATCAAGAAGAGCACATTAAAGTACTGATACCGAAGGAAGTTACCTGGCCAGCATTGCAAGAATCTGGATATGATCTTAAGGCATTCCTCATAAGCATCAATAGCCATAGTTATATTTCCAGCATCTCTGTAAATAAAAAGTAATGACGCTTAGGACCAGTTGATTGACGGGCTTAATAGATGCACAAAAACAAGAAAAGTCATCAGCTGTTACATGAAGCTCAAAATAGTTAATTGAGCATCGTTAACACAGGTTCTATTCCTACCTTATGATTTTCAAGAACTTCTGAAACATCTCTAGAATAAGGTCATCGCACTCCAAGTCCAACATCACCAAGAATGGTCTAACCTTAGAAACAGTATCAAGCACAGCCTCGGCTTTCCTGTAACTGCGAGAGGTGGCATCTTGTAGTTTTCCAAAGGCTCCAACTGTCACCTCGAAAGTTTCCTGTAAGCCAAAGAATTGTTTGTAAAGTTGGATAAATTTTTTTAAAGAAAACATAACAAAAAGAAACGAATTGTGTTGTTGAAATCGTGGAATCCACCTGTATATCAACCTTCATTTGGTCAGTAATCCTCATAATCTCGGTTAAGCACGAGACAACGAAAACCCTAACATCAGAGTCAGGGTTTCTTAAGAGTTCAGCAGATACCAAAGCATTCATTGATGGAATCAGGGCATTATTCACTGCTGCAATAGGATCTTGCTCGACAGTGGAGAGCAGAGACTCCGATTTCCTGCACAGAAAAGCGTCGAAATCAGATGACTGAACATCAAATACCGCAGAGAGAAACCTCTTCTATGGATTCGAAAGCCAACATAACCCTAAAAGGTTTCACATGAAATTCAAATGAAATAAACAATCGAGTCTACAAAAAAATCAAATCGAATTCAAATGAAATTGAGGTGATGAACGTTCGAATACAAGCAGGCTTTACCAGGAAATGCGATCGGCCCAGGGGAGGCGGTTAAAGCGTTTGACGGCGAGCAAGCGCCATAATCAAGCCTACCTCTGTAAACAATATGCCAGAATGCGATCGAAAAATCGCTTTTACGGATTTGGTGGGAAGAATCGCTGTTTTAACATTGTGGAGAATAGAGAGTCGGGGTCTTGGTGGAAAATAGAAAATCTTATAAGATGAGGCTGAAGTAAAGTTTCTTTCATCGGTTTGTTTTTTTTTTTTAAAGATGATGTGTACAAAACTTCCATATTTATTTATAAAAAATGCCAAATCATATTTACAGGTCATTAATTATTTGCACTAACTTTGATTGTAGCCTTGACAACTTAGATTTTTTCAATAATTCTACTTCTTAAATAATGAGTAGGTGGATCTTGATTCTCGTGTTAATTGTGATATCCTCAGTCTCGAGCTCAATACAAAAAAACTATTAATTATGATTAAAGGAAGTGAGGAAACACAGCTTGTACACGCCAAATAATCAAACCGTGTTGATTAGGGATGAGACCAGTAAGGGAACTCACTAGACCTTAATGGGACTTCCTCATTGTAAAAGATATTGCAACATTTGGCGGTGATATCGTAAACACCCAAGTTATGTCCTACAAAATAGATGCAGTTAGGCTTGAGACCAGGGTGCCAGCTCGCTCGGAGACAATAAGGTTCACCATGTCCAAGAAAGATACAAAGATCTCCAATGTCGTCTGTGTAGACCAATTGTTTTTTCTTTTTTCCTAGAGGATGATCCTCTGCTCTAAACACCATGAACTGTCTTGTTCTGCTCGTGATCTCTTTGTAAAAATCATCCTCGTACTTAAAAAACCTGGAAACATATATGGGAGATTCATATAAGAAAAAAAAAATTCATATAAAAAATGTATGTAAATACTCAAAAAATAAAAACTAGTTTAGACATATATATATACCATTTCACGAGGAATTGTTCGCCTGAAGGGGCTTCCACGAAGTGGACTGTCTTGCAAAACAATTTTACCTCGTTAATATCGTCTTGATCCAAATGCTTAGTTAAATCTTCAGTGCACAAGCCAATGCACTCGGGGTCTTTCTCCTTGGAGTTAGGATCCAAAGAACATAAGTACTCGGACCCAGGGGTTGGAACATAGAACCTTTCATCTTTTTTAGAATACATAATACTCGAGAGAGTGTATATAGACCGAGGCATTGCTTTGACGTCGATAAAGCAAGGTTCACGGCCGTGGGGACAAGCAGGCCTATAAAGCTTAATCTTAGAGCCCTGGAGCTTGATAGCCACTACCCAATCTTCATTGTCTAGATCAGGATAAGAAGCCATCGCGATGTTTTGGATCACGGACCCCGTGGGAAAATGAGGTAGTCGAACTCTCACGGTCTTTGATCCATCAGCGGGTTTGTAATGGATCTAGAGACACGCGTCATCGGTATAGGTGCCGTCCAAAGTTGTTCTCGACATTCCAACTTTTAATGACCCATTACTGTTATATCCTAGAGTCATCGCGTTACGGACTTCTTTCACGAGTCTTGTGTCCTTAATCACGATTTGTTTTTCCTCCTTATACGAACGTTTCCCTTTTATGGCTATGCGACCATCTGATGAAAAGTCTTTGCCTGAATCAGCTAGTTTAAGCATGCGGCCAAGTAACATATGCGGGTAGATTGGCATAGAAGAGCACCACCGAACCACCTTGTTTTTGTTGATCTTATCACAAAACCAAATTTTTGCTTACAAGGAATTTTCTTGTACAGTATATATTAACTAATAGACAAGATGGAGTAGCTTACAAGCAATTTTTGCAGGCGAGAGGCTTCACGACTCGGTTGAGAACTTGAGACATTTTTCAAAATTTTCTGAACTCTTGCCGTGGTTTCTTGTGTATATCTGCTGAATTTTCTATAGAAAGACTTGTAGAGTAAAAAGCCTTAAACATCAACTTTACATTAAAGAAAAATAATTTGACTGAAATAAAAAAGTTTGGACACCAAGTTAAAGAAAACCCGTCTTGGACACCAAGTCTACAATAAAGAATAAAAACATTTACGGAATAAACAAATTTACGGAAATAAAAAGATTTTGACATCAAGTTTTTTTTTGAACATTTTTTTTTTAAAACCCAATTGGATATCTTATTATAAGCTACTCCATCTTGTCTATTAGTTAATATGTACAAGAAAATTGCCAATTAACATAACGTTGCAATCAAAGTTTAAAGTTTCAAATTGGCACGTGTCAAATTTTAACTTTCAATTCATTTATGTTGTAAATATAATAATTTTGATATCTAAACTTTTTGTTTTTTATTACAAACGTAGAAGCTGAAGCTAATCTTTCCTACGATGAGATAAATTCCAAAAACAAGATCAGGGATTAAGGACTTAGCTGAACACTTTAATCAAGCTGTGGAGATTCTCATCACTACGCAACATTTAGAAGATGTAACCACGCAGCTTGACCAACTTAGCATCTCAAGGGAGTCAGCCATGGTGAAAACAAGCTTAGAAGAGTAAGGCATCCTCAACGTGCAAGAGGGAACGTCTATAACCGCCAATGCAAGTCAAGAGGGACATTCAAATGGTCTACACGTCAAAAGCATAGGTTATACACTCGAATGGCCATTAATTCATGCACGCAAAGAGGTTTCCTTATTCACCATCACACTACTTGAGTAACACGCAGCACTTAAGCATTGAGCTAAACCAAAGTATGATCCGAATCCTTAATTTCCATATGGTTTAGTTCTACTAATCAAACCTTTTCTGTTTTGCTTCTTTGGTTTAGTTTTATTTCATTTAAACTTTAGTCTAAGGCATGTTGGCCACATTTTATTTACATTTTTCGTTTTAAGGCATTGTTAGCCAAGTGTTTAACTTAAGGGTTTGTAATTTGCTTCAAGTCGCCTAGAAGGACAAAGCTGTTCAGATTGTTTATAAAGTCCCCTCACAGCCGTGTATCATTTTTACCATATCAATAAAGAACAAACTTCTTGGCTAAGTACCAATCTCTTGTTCTCTAAAGCTTTGTGCGATTCATTGCTTGAAGAGTTCTTTGTCTTATCAAGGTTTCCCCCTCATAGAACCTTGTGGCGACTATCATTCCATTGTTCTATCCATCTCACGTTCCTAGATCTTGTAAATAGAGTTATACGGCTCTTTGCTTGGTCCCCATCTCGATCCACTTCCTTCCATAGCCCATCCATTTATTGCAAGCCGAAAGAGTTGAACAACCAGCGGCCCAATCCCATCACCATACACGGTTACTAGCTTGTAGGCGTGTGTCATCTGGTATCAGAGCCGAAAGGCTCCCTACACAGGTGTATCCTATCCCTTTTTGCATCTTTTCTTCCTAGTTTTCGTTTGGTTCATTAGTTCATCATTCATCTTTTCAAAAAAATATAAAAAGTTTTCATTGTTCATTGCTTTGATTCGTTTTCATAAACATAAAACCACAAAAAAATAATTTTTTTTCTCTTTCTCTATTATTTGGTTTTGCATTTTTACAAAAAAAAAAAAAAAAAAAAAAATCATAAGAATTTCTCAGTTTAACTTGTTGCATATTCGTGCCAATTACTACTTTCCATTACGGTCATATTGCGAGTATCTCATTACCTGTTTTGGTTAAGTTGCATATTGTCGTGTATTGCACTAAGTTTGGTTTCTTTGTAACTGGTTAGGACAGTTCTTATTGTTGTTAAACGTTAGGACTTTAGTTTATAGCTATTGTTCTCATATTTGGTTTAATCAACTAAGAGCCCATTAAACCACTTGATCGTTGAAAGCTTTTCAGGTTATAGCCGATGGGAGAAGCAGATCAAGCTAATGTTATGAGGCAGATGCTCGAGTCTATTCAAGGCATCAGTGCTAGGATGACTCAACTGGAGCAGCGGATGCCACCACCACCTCTTGCTGGAGCCCCTAATGGTCCTAGAAACCGCTAGAGGACCCCCGTACCGCAAGGAGAAAGTGAAACTGTCGATGATATGCCGAGTTTGGAGGAAGATGATCCTAACCCGAGGCAAAGGAGGCACCATGATCGTCATAGGAGAGGGAGAGATAGAGAAGATGACCAACCATGGCTTGGAGGAAAGGATATCAAGCTTACACCACCCACATTCGCGGGAAGAGTTAACTCCGAGGCATATGTGGATTGGGAGAGAAGAATGGAGTATATCTTTGACTACTACCAATATAATGACGCCAAGAAGGTCTCCCTAGCTGCTGCACAGCTAACCGAGAATGCTCTTTCCTGGTGGGACAGAGAAGTTTCAGAGAGAAGGAGGAATAGGCATGATCAAATCACCACTTGGGCAGATATGAGATATCATTTGAGGAAGAGATATGTTCCTTCCTACTATCACGGTAAACTACAGAAGAAGTTCAGAAAGCTTACACAAGGCACTAGATCAGTTGAGGAGTATTTTGAGGAGTTTGAGCTGCTCAAGATTTGCTTAGAGATCAACGAGACAGAAGAGACAGTCATGGCGCAATTCATTGATGGGCTACACGATCGGATAGCAAGAAAGGTGGAGAGGACTACTTACCGAGACTTTGATGAGCTTCTGCACTTAGTTGTACAAGCCGAGCAGCACGTCAAGAGGAAGTCAGCCTCTACTGCTAGAGCCAAGCCCGCTTGGAGTTCACAGCCGAGAGCCTTTGATAAAGGCAAAGCACCTGAAGTAGCTTCCAAGTACAAGAAGCCGGTTGTAGAGACATCTAAAGCAGCTACTGGCGAGTCAAGCAAGCCCCAAAACCAACGAGCTAGAGATGTTACTTGCTTCAAATGTCAAGGGAGAGGCCATTATGCAAGAGAATGTCCTAATCAGCGAGTGATGTTGCTCAAGGAAGATGGCGAGTATGAATCTCAGGATGAAGCCGAGGCCAAGCTTACTGATTCAGAAGAAGAAGTGACTGATTTTCCTGATGAGGGAGAGCTGCTAGTGACCCGGAGAGTTCTCAGCACCATGTTTGATCCTGAAACCATTCAGAGAGAGAACATCTTCCATACACGCTGTACCGTGAACACCAAGGTATGTAGTCTGATCATAGATGGTGGTTCTTGTACTAACGTGGCTAGTAAGTATCTTGTAGACAAGCTAGGTCTCAAGAAGACAAAGCACCCGAGGTCCTATAGACTCAAATGGCTGAATGATGAGCCTGAGCTAAAGATAGGAGAGCAAGTGCTAGTACCATTCAGCATTGGCAAGTATGAAGATCGGGTTCTATGTAACGTAGTTCCCATGCAAGCCGGCCACATCCTTCTTGGTAGACCATGGCAGTTTGACAAGGAGACAATCCACAATGGCCGTACCAACTTTTACAGCTTCTCTCACAACAAGAAGAAGCATAACCTCTCTCCACTTACACCCCAAGATGTCTTTAACCTCCAAAAGGCGATGGACAAAGGGGCTAAAGTAAGTAAGACTAGCCTTTATGTTACTCCTATCAATGTTTTAATGGCTTTAGAATACAAAACGCAGGTACTACTCATGATCTTTAGAGAAGGGCTGTTTTCAGGTCAAGAGGAGAACGCCTTATCCGCCGAGATGAATGAGCTTTGGGAGAAGTTCAAAGATGTCTTCCCTGATGAGATATCAGCCGGTTTACCACCCATTCGAGGCATTGAGCACCAGATAGACCTTATACCCGGTGCACCTCTACCCAACCGGCCAGCATATAGAGTTAACCTGGAGGAAGCAAAGGAGCTAGAAGCACAAGTTCAAGACCTTATGTCCAAAGGCTACATCCGAGAGAGTTTGAGTCCTTGTGCTGTACCGGTTCTACTAGTGCCAAAGAAGGATGGGTCATGGAGAATGTGCGTGGACTGCCGAGCTATAAACAACATCACCATCAAGTATAGGCATCCCATTACCCGGCTAGACGATATGTTAGATGAGTGGAGTGGAGCTACAATCAAGTCAGAATGAAAGAGGGCGACGAGTGGAAGACAGCATTCAAGACTAAGAGAGGTCTATATGAATGGCTAGTCATGCCCTTCGGCCTCACCAATGCACCGAGTACATTCATATGGCTTATGAATCATGTACTGCGTGCATACATCTGTAAGTCAGTAGTTGTGTACTTTGATGATATTCTCATCTATAACTCAAGCTTAGATGACCATATTAAACATGTTGAGCAGGTGTTAAAAACGCTAAGGCTAGAGGGTTTATACGCAAACTGATCAATTGGTGTTTCTAGGTTTTGTAGTAAGTTCACAGGGGCTAAGGGTGGATGAGAAGAAGATTAAGGCGATTAAGGAATGGCCAACTCCATCTACCATCAGCCACGTCAGGAGCTTCCACGGTTTAGCAAGCTTCTATA